CGTGTACCCCAAGACATCAGCTGTACGTTGTCAGGGGAAAGCAGGTAGTCGAGTACGAGGTTCGCGTTGTCAGCAGAGAAATTCTGAGCCGTTCGTTTGGCTCGCTTGATCGCTTTGCCTTGGCTGAGTAGCGTATAGTTATGTTGTGCTAATGATATTAATGTCACGATTTGCGTTTTAGTAGGTGAATGGTATTTACTACCTGTTTTATTAGCCATCTTTCCGAAATCGATACATTTCGCTTCCAGCATACTGTTGAGGTCCATCTTGCTGGACGCTAACGGGCGGAGAATGCTGCGGACTGTTTTGAACTCAACCTATGGAAATTTATAGATAGATTTGCATCGATTCATACATGGTGAGGCTTCAATGTATCCAGAAGCTCTATCGACAAGGATAGAAATGATTGAGCAGGAATTGCTTTAATTTCTTGGCGATACTCAACGTAGGCGTGTATCAATGCATCCGGGCTATGGGCATGGAATGTCTAAAATTGTGTCAGATACATTTGGCTACTCAGACGCTACCTTAGCTAAATCAACGACTGCACACTGAAAGCCGTTTAAGGTGGCCCCTTTGGCTATTTCAGTCATGTATTGCCATTCCAGTGCTTGGCGGGGAATGTTCTTGCCAACTTTGATGTTCAGTTGCTCAACCTTTCTGGAAATCTGTTTTCCTATCGGGGTCGAGCATGGAGTCCTCGTTGCAGAGCCGTAGGACTCTCTTCGCGTGTGAACGTCTACATGAAGTTAGTTTTGATACAAACATGGTATTCATTCAATACTACATCCAAAGTGCTTGCTCTGCTTTGGTGCATTACGAAGTTGATGCTGCGTATCATCGCTACGTGTAACGTTGTTAGTGCAATGACATGCGTACTCGCATTCGAGTATCGGACAGCCATTGCACTTGTGGCAAATACGCTGCTTGTGCGAGCAGACCATGAGAAACGCAAGAATAATGCGTCAACCCAATGGTCAATTCTAGGATGCTCGTCAACCAACACATGTGGTACTTCCCAGTGGCTTGGGACATTCTAAATTTCTAGGGTGAACGTGCAACTATGTTACAGTGGTAGAGTCAAAGTTCGCTGATGTGGCTGCTCTAATATAATTGGATGAAACAAAAGTAATTTTATTTATTTGTCCAACAAACGTTCTAGTTCCATCGCATGATGGCGAAGCATTGGCTCACACGGAAGAATCTCTAACTCGCACGGATCTTCGTACTTCTACTTGAAAGTATTTACGCGTGTTCATGAAGGTGTATTATGTGAATCCCGAGAAGGGGGTGGCATCTGCTAGACGGTAGGAAAAGTTCGATGTCGACACCTCCATTTTCCTACCGTGAAAAGTGAATATAGTTCCCGTGGCCTTTCTGTTAATATGAAAAATGAAGACATGGTTGCAGGCTACATAACAAGATATGGTGTGCGGTGATTATACTTATTTAGCAGCGTTAAGTGACCTCAAACATAATCCCAAAAACCTTGAATATTGCTTAATTTGGGTGTGATTATATCATGCAATTAGCATCGTAAATCGTAATAATGCAGTCCATGACACTCCATTACGTAGTATCGATACTGTTGGACACGCTACCATGTTCTTGCGTCGATCAGCGATCTATGAGCCACGAATCAGCACATTAACTGTAAAGACCGCATTTTGGGGTGACCTTATACCTCAAATATAGTATAAAGATGACAAACAAGTATTGTCATCAGCTACTGTAACTTTAGGCCGGGTCTGGATGCCACGAAAAATGGCATAAAATGGCCGTTTTTCGAAGAAAAGTTACCAAAATCGAAATATTCCATTTTTCTTGATTTTGTGCGTCTTGATGCCACCAAAGTTCAAGGTGGCATTTGACATTGAATTGTGCGAATTTTTAAGGGCTGGTCTGGATGCCACCACATAAAATTATGCCATAAACCGTCTTGGCAAGTCTGTAAAAATTTCCCAAAGTCTCATATCCCATGAAGAAAAGGAGAAAAGAAGTATCTCCAAAGTTGTCTGGATACCAGCTGAATTTTGGAAAAACTATATTCGATTTCGTATTCAAGTGCAAGACTTCAACGTGAACACAAACCTCCATAAAAAAGTTGGACCAAATTGGTCCATGTTTTCTTTTTTGCCATAAAACACCCAATTCTCAAGAAAATTGTGGCATAGAGTAATGAACTTTGGTGGCATCCAGGCGTACAAAATCTCGAAAAATGAAATATTTCGATTTTGGCAACTTTTCTTCGAAAAACGGCCATTTTATGCCATTTTTCGTGACATCCACAGGCAGGGTTTCGGGGTTTCACCCACCCTAAAAATGTGGTGAAAGGGACTTTTCTGAAAGTTGGCAATAACTGAGAATCGTCGAGTGTTTTCGAAAACTGCTTGATCCAGACAGTCAAAAATAGGGGACAACCAAATTCTTCGAAGAACTTTGAACCAAATTTTCGAAATTTTAATTGGGCAAAACTTGGGGTGTGATCAGACCCACCCTTCACTTTTTTGATGTCATATTTTAAAATAAAAAGCTATGTATGTATATCCATGGCATTCTGTGTATTCCTAGTAGACTCGGCGTCGTCGGGCTAACTGTGAACCAGAGATCGGTAGCGAAGTAGGGAATATGGCAAAACATGGATCCTCAAGCCCATAAAAAATGTCAGAAAACACTTTTATTACAACTTTTCCGAAATATTATGACAATTTTTCAAACGACAGCTTTTGTGTGTTTGGCTACCAAATCTGGCATATATAAAGTGACATCATGCGTCGAATGTTTACTGTTTTCTGACCGAATAGAGTTCCAACTGCAACTGTTGAATTTTTATCTATTCATACATGCATGCTATTCCAGCAATTGTTATCATTCCATCACGGGATCCATATCACATCAAAATAATATTATTTTCTCACGTCCCATGAAATGGGAATAATTCTCTGTCAGAATATTATTTGACATAAAATGCTTCTGTGGTATCCGGCCTAAATAACCCCCAAAATAGTTGTTTTTTCATATACTCGATAGAAATGAAAGTCGAATTGAGCCTCTCGGCGTCATTTTCATGCGGAAAAAATGGATGCGTTCAGTGTTTAACGTAGAAGTGACAAATAACATTTCTACGCTTTCTTTCCTTCAAATCGCCGTGATGATGAAAGAATTGCAAGGCGGTCCGTCGATAGGGGATATATTCGTTTCAAGCCCTACCCCATATACCTATATTAGGACAAGGAGGGCTTCCTTCACGAATCACTGCTGAATCTGTCATCCCAATCGACTTATCATTATTTATAGCCATCCACCCATTCATTCCGTCACTCTTTGGGCTGTTGAAGGTATTGCGGCACATACAGGTTGAACTCTTTCTTCAGTGGCACTTGCTTTTTGGAGGGAATCGCTTGACTGAGCGCCAACTCCTCCACGACCGGCCACTCCTCGTCCCCTCCACTGGCTTGGCCAGATGCTGCTCGTAGCTCCAGGACGTTGTCCACCATCACCACTTGGTCTGCTTCTGCTTCTTCGTTGGTTTCTGCCATCGCTCGTCGGTCTTGGATTGCCTTCATCACTCCCTGGGGTTGGAACTGGAGCAGATTGCGCACGCCAAACAGCTCGCCTTGCTGGCTTTTCACGCCCTGAATCGCTTCAAAGTACCGCGGCATGGACTTGCCTTCCAACGTTGTGTCGGCCATGTGCTGCTTGTAAATCTAACAATACCACCCCTTTCGTCATATTTGTTGTCATCTCATATATATATACATGATCCAACCGGAAACGAAACAAATGATCCATATGTATATATACGATTGTAGTATTGCTATGCATTGAGCTAGAAACGAAAGAAATCATTCATTTGTATCTATAAATACAGTATAAATATTACATATCTATAAAAGAACGATAAAAAATCCATATATAAATGAAGCCTAAACAATTTCATATATCAATGAAATATATAAATCAATCATTTATTTAGCTCTCCATCATATATATATATAAATATATTCTAAACTTATGTAAGAATACATACCTGGCGCGCATAAATCATTTCTTCGATCGTCCCCATCGTCACGAGTCGGTACACATGGACGTCTTTGGTTTGGCCGATGCGATACGCGCGGTCCTGCGCCTGGCAATCGTGCGCGGGGTTCCAACTCGGATCGAATACAACCACATTCGTCGCACTCGTAATGTTCAGGCCCAACCCACCTGCGATAGACGCCAAAATTAAAATATATAAAATTAAAATAAAAAATATATAAAATCAAGTGCACGTGCCTGCTTTGGTGCTGATGAGAAACACGCCGAGGGACGGGTCTTGGTTAAATGCATGGACGAGATTGAGTCGTTCGTCCACTTTTGTGCCGCCGTCCAACCGGACGTACGCCAATCCTTGCGAAATCACAAACTAACCAGTCGTTTTAGTGTTAAACATGACATAAATAAAATTAACAAACGGACTCGAAAAATACCAAATTAAGCGAAAAAAATGAATCATCGGATTGTAAATAGACGAGATTCTTAACAGACGAATCAAAATAATATATATACTAGTTTATAAAAAAGACGATCTAAGCGAAATATATACGAATTAACGGATTCTAGCAAGACGAATTAAAGCGAAATATATATGAAGAAAGGGAGTTATTCTAAATAAACAACTGTATGTACCGCCTGCAAAATATCGAGCATCCGCACGTTGCGGCTGAACACCAACGCCTACAACATGGGAGTTAGAACCCGTGAAACTTTATATTTGACGTCATACCTTTTCGCGCTTGACCCGCCACCGTTCGAGTAACCCCTTGAGCACTTCCATCTTGCCACACAGCGCCGAGTTCATCTTGTCAAACAACCCCGCCGCTCGAGTCAAGCCCCCCGCTTCGTCCTACCCCAATAGTTGTTGACAAATATATGAGTTTTCGACAGGTTCTACTCCCAAACCTTGAACCCTTTCTCCTTCCATTGTACACAGTATTCACGTCAATTCAAAGAACAAATATAACACTACCTTATATCCACATTCGATAAACACTACTCAATATACACACACTAAACGCAAATTTACATTTGTATATATATACGTATATACGTATAAACTGTAGTTCGAATCCAAAGGATTTGGGAGACACCACAACCAAGATCAAAAACGTGTCGTTTGGAATGTCCTTTTTTGCATCCACTTTCGTATTTGTCGTTGATCTGCATCATGAAAACAACTAAAACGTAAAAACGATATCAAATATTCGATATCAAAAATATCTAATGTCTTATTGTAATCAAACATTTCATTCCATGGTGCAAAAATGTACGACAAACCCGGTAGATAATGAGTAATATTTAAATAATATTTTGATCGTACCACATCAGAACCAAACGCGACGGTGGCAAACGCTTTCGTCGCGGCTTGCTGGTCGGTGGAATCGGCCGGATTTACTCGAATCAAGTCCAAGTGGTTGGCAATTTTCAACAGCTACAGACAAATCATTATATACGATATGTTCTGTATATATCACAGAAAAATCTAAAACCATTCAATTCAATATGTTCATACATGAATATAATACATACACTCTACACAAAATTAAGAAAGAAATGGTAGACATTTTAAAACTTTCAACAATAAATGTTAGGGTAAGTCACACCCCAACAATATATTTGTTTGCCCTATTCATATGTCATTTAGTTCCAAGTAATTGGACAAATTTGATAGTTTCACTGCCTGGGAGGATTGTTCCAACAGATGCTCAGGTATGGCCAACTTTTAGAAAAAGAAAAACCTTTTCTATATTTTATGGCAAAAAACGGGCTATTTGGCCAACATATTGACAATTTTAACCTCTTTTTTCCTGTCATCCAGACTCATCCAAACACAAAGAATATAGCAAACCACGACATGATAGTTGGCCTAAGCGTGGTCCTATCGAAAGTTCTAAAGTCTCTCGAATCGATAGATTTTTTGGTGCGGTGTTCTGGGCTAAACTCATGATTCGGGTTTAAATAAGCCAATCATTTCACAGTGGTAGAAGGCATCGAGGGAATATTTATGCATTTCTCAAGGTCCAGATGACCTTTTTCAGTGAAACTTCTTGTGTGCTCATAACTAAACGCCATATAAAAAACGTTATTTGGGTGTCAGGTGTAGAAATGAATATCTTGTGAGATATGTCACAAAACATGACGGAAATGAGGCAAATATCACATTTACAAATAATAACCTATATCTTTTAATAGTATTATATTTGACGCTTATACAGGAAAGCAAATATCACATTGACAAATAATATAACCTATATCTTTTAATAGTATTAACTTTGACTTATATGAGTACTCTGAAATATAATATTTTGAAATAACCCTAATCCCGATACCCTGGCTGCCTTCGACCACTGTCAGTTCCAAGTACCGTTTTGGCCAACTAATATGTACAACGCACCTGGGTCATGGCCACAAACTGAATGCAATTCAGCGGACATTGCGCGCACTTATCACCCGTGGGGTGCACGTGCCGCCAGAGCACCCCCGGGGGATCCACCTCTTTTGTGTCGGGGTCCATCAGCGCTTGGTACTCGGGCAGCGACGTCACTCGAACGTACACGGAGCGCTGGAGTTTCGTCAGTGGGCACAGCACCACTTGGTCGTGCTTTTTGATCTTTGTAAACTGCGGGTTGACTCTATAAACGCCACTGATTATATATATATACATTCATGATATATACTTTTTTTTTTTTTTCTTCTTTTCACACAACGAGATTGGATGAATATATATAAATCAGTGGGTCGAATTCATAGAATATATATATATATCAATATTTCTTTTCACACAACAAGCATTTGATCCATATTTATATATATATCCGATGGGAAATTGGCGTACGTTTTGTCGCGGTGTAGATAATATGGCTGGAGCAATTGCCTCAATTGCCGCTCTTTCGCTTCGCTGCGGGCGATGGCTTGCGGCGCCGCCGATTTTTTTCTTGCAAATTTGATGTCGTCAATATAAAACGCCCGAAAGTCATTCAACGACCCCAACTACACTCGAAACACACCACGTTACGACTCTAATCAAACTTCACTGATGAAACATTTCAACCAATCGACAATCAGCATGGTTGGCCCAACAGTTTGACCCAATCGAATGTTTCACCTCTAAATTTGTACACCATGGAATAAACTTCAAAAAAATGCATCATATAAGCCCACCCAAAGGACTTGGGCACGGTTTAGGTATCCAATTCAGTCCATGTTCAAATGGCTTGGAACATATATATATTTATATATATAGAATCATTTCATGAGCCGAATAAAAGTCCACATAATACTAAATATATATCCTAGACTTGGGCATATATCCTAAACTATTGATCAAATACTACCTCTGTCCGAAAGTGATTGCACGAATGGACATTTCAGGTGTGAAATTAGGGTATCTCCTCCAAATCAGTGAGCCTCCCACACATTAGGAGTACTTTTGAATACAAAATTTCAAATGGAATCCAATTAGAGCCCCCAAAGGTCCTAAATAGGAATGACAGCTTATTTATCCACGAAAACAGTGGGAATGATGATCATTTTTGACTGTGCTCACGTATAAGTTCTGTAAATTTATATTTGTAAAACATCCATTTATACAGGTGTCGAGTATAGTTGTGGGTGCAATAAGCTGTATAATATAATAAATTTTGTACCGTAAATTTACACTCGTGCAATCATTTTCGGACAGAGGTAGTAGTGATAGTCCCGGGTTGATATATATATATATATATCGTACACAGTTGGGATGGATCGTGTCCAGTACACAGTGCAATTCGTCGGCGTTGTTTTGCATGAGTGTGCCACTGAGCCCAAGCTTGCGTTTGCAAGCAAGTTGCTGGACAGCTTTGGTGATTTGGGCCTCGGGATTTTTCAAGTTGTGCAGTTCGTCCAGAACGACAATATACCATTCGATTACATTCAATTCCGACAGGTGCAACTTGAGCAGATCGTAGCTGCACAAGACCACTTCATACGCGTCTCTATAGACATGTTCTCAACCACACAAACTATGATGGAAACCAAAACAAACGAAATACAAATATATATATATATATATATTCTCTCGATAAACCATTTCTAATTATATATAGTACCGAGCCATAGCTTCCAAGATATCGCGGCGGTCTTTGGGTTTGCCGTGTAAAATTGCCACTCGGCAGCACATCCACACTTTGCACTCGAGTTCCCAGTTGGCCAACAACGATGCGGGGACCACCACCTACAACACGATATTAAAAATATATTAATTAGACATCAATATATATTAATTTGACATAACAATAAATAAATTAATGGTCACAGGACGATGTATACATCGTACAACTCAAGGTAATGCGAGAATCAAAGTACTACCAAAGCCACTGCATCCATATCCAACATGCATACAGAGGGAACGACGACATCATGCTCGTTGGTCGATGGAGTACTTGGAATATGAATGACCAGATGAACTGATATGATTGGCTTATTTCAACCAATCAGACATTTTGGCCTGAATGACCCCAAATTTCTCGGTTATGAGACGTTCAGAAACTTCGGTAGTATGATCACTTAGACCAACTAGCATGATGTCATGTCCTGTACATCACATTAATAGTCTCAAACTCCACGCCCTCAGACATATATTTATCATGCTACTGCAATATATAGAATATACCCATATATACATATATACGTCGATAACAAAGTTAAATATAACTATATAAACATTACAATGTACACCAACCGATCAGTATATATATATATATGTCGATAAAACAAGCATATATAATTTCTAACAAATACAACGAACCTCCAAACAAACGCCTGGACGCAATCAACAACTACATCCGGACAAACCTCCATATTTAAATATAAATATACCTCTAAGAACGAATACGACATACATGCCATGCAATCCACTATCCACGCTCCAATCTGTCATGTCTAGTACCAGTACAGGGCCAGGCGATTCATCACTTTTGTGCCGCTTATCTGCTTTGGCAGTTCCGTGCTTGAACAGCACGGCCGATAGCAGCGCGAGAATCTGCACCGTCTTACCCAGCCCCATGTCGTCCCCCAAAATGGCGCCGCGGTTGCCCCGCACGGCTTCGAAGAGCCAGCGCACGCCTTCGCGCTGATATGGCAATAAAAACTGATTGAAACGACCGTGAACTTGCACCACGCGGTCGCCTTGCTGCAGGACGAGGGGAGTCTCGACGTCTTCAGGTGATTGGTCCTATGATAACACCATATACAAGACACGGATAGGACATGTTGTATTATTTCATATATCACGATCGAATTCAAACATAGTATTGTGAATTCGCTATATATACTTTCGAAATGTTTGTGTACTATCAATATTGAATCACGATGGAAGTTCTGATTGGTTGAATATACTTGTCATTTGAGCCAATCAAATCCACTCAATAGTGGATTAGCCAATAGCGTCGATTCGACTTGGTCTGGAAATTCGTACTATCGAATTCACAATTCTGAATATGACACATGGAAGAAGCATGCACAGTACGAGCGTGGTGGGCTCTCTAGGAAGAAGCAATAAAGATATACACCGATAATATACGCATGGACTGTACGAATATATATATATATATTATAGAAAAGGAATTGTGGATAGAGCCATATGCTTGAATCATACAACGGACGAACTTCAATTAGTGTGAATATGTACCTCGGGGGGAGGCAGTTGGGGCCACGTCTGGTCCAATTCCATCAAGTCGTCGTCGTCGTCGTGTGGGGGGTGGGTCGTTAAGGCGAGGGAAGGCGACGGGGTTTTGGGCGGCGGAGGCCGTGTACGCTGGAAATGGATAGTGGCCATGTCACTAAAGAGAGGGAGGACATTTATCTCTACCTTGACTGGTTCATCTGAAAACAGCAAGGGATTTTTGGCGGTTTTAGGGGGATGGCTGTGTCTGGCGCGTTTGGTCACTACGGGGGGCTCGTCAATGTCACTAAACCACTCGTCGATGTCACTAATGTTGTTGTCTGTAGGCTTGGAAGGCGTGGTTAAACTCCGACGGCGTAGCGGAGGCACGGGCAAACATTCGGTTAACTTCTGCCGACCAAATGGGGAAATGTACGCAGGTCGTGGCGGCGGCGAGCGCGGACGGACATTCGATGAGGAGGATGGAGATGGATTGGAGGGGGTTTGATAGGTACATGGGCTCGCGAAGATGCGTTCCTGAGGTCCGACGTCCTTGGTGCGACGATCAGTTTTAGCATGTGTCTCGGGTGTCGTGGATGGAGGTGGTGATGGCGTGGCCTGGATAGCGTCGCGGCGTGGTGACGGTGGACGCCGCACGGGTGGAGGTAGGAGATGCTGGAACATGGGAAGAGACAACGCGTTCGCGTTCAGGGAGAGAAGGTGTTGAATGGCCGACATCTTCCCATCAGGTTGACGTGGCGACGATGCCTGTCGAGAAGGGCCGCTGATCGGGAAGGCTTCGTCGCTGCTGCTGCTACTTTCGCTACTGCTACTTTTGCTCTCGTCGCGGACATTGCGGCCGTGTGGTGTGGGACGGGGTCGCTTTGTCCCACCGACGACGTTGCGAGCGGTGCCCATGAGGTTGTTCTCGTCGTCGTCGTCACTACTGCTACTGAAGACAGACAAGGATGGCTTGGCGCATTGATATGTTGGTAGAGAAGGAGGTTTGTACGCGAAGGACGTCGCATGAGTTGCAAGGGGTGGCGCCTCCTCGTCGTCGGAACTGCTCGACAATAAGTCCATGGCTCGTCGTCTGCCTGCACTCTGCACCGACAAAGACCGTCATCGGGATATTTATCAAGATTGTTGGTCATTTTGAGGGATACTAGTAATTTGCAAAATAAATGGTGTATTTTATCCAAAAATTGCAAATACTTCAATGTATTGGATACACATTTGAAGATGTATGGTATGGTTGGGACAAACCGTGGGGCCAAACTATAATGACCGTTGATTGGTTGAATTTGTGTCATTTGATTGGCTAGATCATCTAAATACATTCAGAAATCAACAAAATTGGAACGGATTTGACAATACAGAAATTGGATACTGTACTAGGTGCGTCCTTGCTAAGCGATACAGTAACGTTAGACGTCCCTAAGGCGTCATTGCTGGACGCGGTACAAACCCTAACGTTAAGCTTAACGTTACATCTGGCAGTGGTCGAGTCCTTCCTCCCATCCTATCCCATATCGACATGAACCTACCAAAGCCAAGCATGTTGTAATGTTTGCATTGTACAACCGTGATAGTCTGTAGCGTATCTTGTTGTCGAATCACGTTCAAGCTATACATGCAAAAGTTAACGACGTTGTGGCCTTGACGTAAACTTAGGCGGTTTATCTTGTTCATGAGCAATAATTAAAGGGTCTAAGCCAAGACCTTACAGTAGTGGTGTCCTATAATAGTCTTCCATGCCCGGGGCCGGGGCTAGTCTGTACACAGGTAGAAAGGGCGGGCAGGTGGAAAAATATGCTAGACTTCCCCTCCGATCAAACGCTACAGCGAAAACACAGTTCCGTCCACAAACGTGTCGACGTTGGAGGTCGCAAACGACTCGGTGCCCAGCAGTAGGAGCTCGTCCATGTCTCCCCACAGAGAAGGCGCATCCCATTCGACAGCCGTCTCTTCGTCCTTGGCGATGTCGTGCAGCACCGTGGCCAAAGTCGACACGTGGCCTAAGAGCACGCTCATCTTGGCTTGCAGGGTCGACAGGTCCGATCGAAGGTCGGCCACTTCGTCGGCATTCCACTTTGGCGTCGGGTCGGTGCACGTCTTTCGTCGGATCGTGTCGAGTTTGTGGGGTGCGTCGCGTAGGAACTTGGGGTGGGTGAACTCCCAGCATAAGACTTCGTCGTGGGTCGCGGCGGTTGTGTGTATTAGCGGAACCTTGGCCTTCTCAAAGCCATAGAACCGCAGCTGCCGTGTGAAACTTGCAAAGTGATTGTGGCGAAAGTACTGGGGTAGGACGCGGCGCTCCAGCACCGACACATCCTTGACCATGAACGATGAGCCCGCCTCGTTCCAAGCGGCAACGTCACTGGGGCAACTCGCCAGCATCTCCATCGTGCGTTGGAGAAACATGGCTAATGAGAAAATGAGATCCGTTGGGCAGGGGGGCCCACCGGGCGTGGTCTGAGTTGTTTGGTTTCATCACGTAAACACGTGTATAAGTGAACGTCGCATGTGACGCTTTCTTTTTACTGTAACTTACGGTAAAATGCTGACCGTTTTTGGGTTCATTGTTGTAGGACAGCAAGCGTTGTACTGTATACTGTACGGTAGAGGGACGAAGGGGTACTGTATGTATTCCAAACCCAAGGACAACCTTTCTACCATGCATAGCAACCTTGGATGGTACATAACAGTAAGCTTGAACTATCGTGTTTACCATGGTAACTTAGTTACTATTAATAGTACGATGTTATTTCGATGTCTTGTGTGGGTCTGTGGATGGTATCTCGACCATCACTCACACCTTGTTTTCGAGTGTGTTTAGGTCTAGCCAATCAAATGCGAAGGATGTGCACTCATCAACATTTTGATTGGCCGATAATTTCAAACTCGCTTCTCCCGATTGTGTGATGAATTACGCCACTCGTCACGCAATATGACCATTGGGGCGTGGTCTGACTTTCCCGTGCATGAACAATTAATACTAACGCTAACGTTATTAATATTAATAGTACACCACATGTCTATTCTAGTAGTACCAGTACTACATCCACAGTGGCATGGTACTGTACACATACACCCGTGATAATGGCGCAAGTGACGACGTGATTTTCGACCCCTCCCGCAATCGCACAGACTAAAGTTTGGCATTATAGAATAAACACAACAATTAAACTACCTATTAGGGGGTTTTAATGTTGAAAATAATACTTCCGAGGTTGTATTAATAATTGTCCAGTATTTACAACTACAAATATGTTAGGCAGAAGAAGTGACCAATCAGATTGTACAAACTACACCTCTCAATTAGTGTGATTCGCAACTCTACATAACATTTTTATTACAATGCATACAAAATTCAGTACAAAAAATCGATCCATTGATTGACTTTTTAAATTGGCGGCCACACTACACCTAGTGCATACTACTAGTAGTACTATGTACTGAACCCACATTCTTCATCCTACTTGACATCCAATCAAACGACGAAATGCTCGTATATCGTCATATGATTGGCTTGGTAATATCGAAAGTCCCCTACGCAGGTTCCTGCGGCTGATGATGGAGTCGGTTGCGAGAGCATCGCATCACCAAGAACGACAATCGGGTCATGGAGAGGAATGGAGCGTGTTATTAGAGTGGCGCATGGTAGTCTTTGGAGAAGGTACACATGTCGGCGACGTCTGCACGCACAATGAAAGGAGGAGGTCGTCTGGTGGAGTAGTATGCGCCATTAGCACGCGAGCGGCAAGTCAAAGTCCAACAGCGTCGCGAACAGGTGCTCGTCAACGTCCGTGAAGGTATCATCATCCAAGCAAAAGTTCCATGCTTGATGGTCCATGCTCGTGATGTCATCGACAGTCTTGGGGGACGACGTTTGCGCGGGAACCTTAACAGACAGAGTCGTTTTCGCGCGCTTCGCAGCAGGCTCACGGAACTCGACATCTTCCGATGCAGCATATTCGTATACTGCAGCAGTCAACGTGGAAATGTGCGCAGACAGCGTGGACATGGTGTTTTGTAGCGTAGAGAGTCGGTTCTTGAGTTCGCTGACTTCACCCGCTTCCCACTTGACCGCCACCGATTCCGTGCACGTCTTGCGGCGGATCGACGTCATCTTCACGGGGTCGTCGCGAAGGAATTTGGGGTGCTGGAACATCCACCACGTCTGGCCGGTTTCGTTGTTCTCGTTGAAGCGCGCGTCGTGGATCTTGCTCTTCTCAAAGCCGTAGAATCGCAGTTGGCGCGCGAACGACGCGAAGTTGTTGTGCTTGAAGAACTGGGGCAACATCGTCGATTCGAACTGCTTGGTGTGCTTAATCACAAACGACTTGCCGTCTTTGGACCATTCCGCGACGGGCATGGGGCATGCTTCAAGCATGTCGTAGGTCTTCTGGAGGAATACTGGCGCGGCGTTCATGGTGCTGTGTGGATGTGGCGGCAAAATGGAAAATGACCAAACCACCTCAACGCGGTTTGTGATTGGAGCGGTGGCGTCGGCGGTAAACATTTATGGAAGTTAACGACATGTGGTATTAAAATGAAACACGACGGTATTAAATCCACTTGTTCTTTGTATGTATAGTGCCGTCGACGCATTCTATTTCTCCTCCATGGTTAAAATAATTGTCCCATCACACATCCGGTAATCAATCCCATCAACATGCCAAATCTGTCTGAACAGACTGGGGCTAAAATAGCCATAAGATCCATAAACAGGCGGCGGCACGGAACTCACATTCAAAATGACATTTCGTATCTTTCAGGTCATATATAACCTAAGTACAGTACTGTACTAACGTTACCGATTGTACTAGTTTTGAAGTATTTACAGCTTTGGAGGGCAATGTGGGTACAGTACTGTAGCTCCGTACCGTTTGGAATTGAGAGGGAGAGAGGTTGGTTACCATGTAAAATCGATAGCGTTAAGTAGATTCAATACACCAATGCTACGAATGGTTCAGGGCCATCATGCCGAATGGGTGAACATGTATTTTAATAACGCCAAGATGGTGGGCTCGTCAAAAAATAAATCTTTCGCTGGTGGATGACAAGATGGGAAGTCCCCCCTATCATTTCAGGTTGCACGGGCTTTCCATTCAATTCAAACCATCGGCAACTTTACTTCCCTTTGGGGAGAGGATATCGGTAACGTTAACAATAAGTATGTACCGTCGTTATTCATAGGGGAGAAACAGGTACCGGTACACATATATGATTGCCATAACCATTCCGTTACAGTGTGTACAAGGGGCCGCCAGTCATCTTGACCACGATCCCGTGATCGGATGACGGACCGGAACTTTTAACAGTGTTCTGATGCATGAGCGCTGACAGCCTGTGAATCTCAGACTTTAGTGTGGTGATGTCATTTGACTTACATCGCGTCCAATGTGGGACGATCCTCTACGTAGCAATTTTCAGCTAGAGGTATTACACTGTGAACTTGTACAGTCGCACCGGTGGGGATGCTCTGAGCAACTCCAATAGCGGTGATGTTTGTTACACAAAGTGGGCCATGCATTGAGGACCTTTATGGCGGATTGATCCCCCTCTCATAACGTTAGCCTCGATTGAACACGCCTTAGTGTATTTGGTACAGTAGTATAAGTACATGATTGTGTTGGTTTTGGGGTCCTCCACCATCATCATCCTTGGGAGTTGTTGGTGGTGGGAACTGCTTCAAAGTATTACTGTACACTGTAGTATATAGTATTGATTGCGTGATTGAACGAAGTGATTTCTTCAGTAAGTTGCTAAAAGTCTCTATTACTACGTAATACTAGTAAATATTACAAAAATAGTATCTACAGTCAGAAGTGTTGCTATTAGTAGTACTTCGTAATACACTTCTGACTGTAGTACTACTATTAGTAGGTAGTAAAAACATGGCCACCCCCTTGAACAAATTATACTATTATTAATAGTACGTATTAATAGTAATATTATACCATCAACTGTACTATTAATATTAAAGTATGCGATGATCGATCAATTACGTCAGTATTTGCGTTAATTTGACCAAAACTAGAGGCTTTCAACCAATCAAAACGCTTGGAAATAAAACATGGGATGGAAGGGCCGGCCGGGCGAAGGACGATCTCGCAAACTGGAGAGGTGTTGGCGTTTACCATGGAATGCTAACCTCAAATAGTGCCGTAGATTCAAGGCCCATCTTGCGTGGAAGCATGAGATATCGTCGGCATTGGATGACATCCGAAGTGCGCATCGTCTTGCAGTCCGCACCACCGATGACCAAGCATTCAGCACTCGACGACCACTTCAGCTCCAGCCTAGGTCAGCTCCAACACCTACACTACCGCCTCGTCCCCGACCTGCGGGTCCTACGCCTCTCAGTGACGAAGAGATTCGTGGCATCATAGCCCAGGACCACCACGGGCTTCTCGTGACGAAACCAACCTCCCTTGTAGATCGGTACTCCCAACCATACTATCCTTCAATCATCCCCACGGTTCATCCTCCATGTCACCAGGTGCCTGCATGTTATGGCGAGACATTTGGATCAGTACCCCACCTCAGACACCTTTGTCGTCGAGGCCATGCAAGCTGGCCTGTCACCCGACCTCCACCATCGCTTGTCCATCTTGAGCACTTGGTACCACACTATGACAGCAGACAACGTGGCCTTGTTGTGTACGCCAGCCACCCAAGCGCTATGTCTCGGTCAGCTCAACGTCGACGCCGTCGTCGTGCCACTCGTAGCGCCAGACGCGTATACTTCCTCCCCGTCCCTGGACTCGTGGGAGGACCTGCCAGATATCGTCATGCACTGGTCGGGGTGTCCCTACTTGACCGAGTTGGAGCTGGTGCAATGTTATGAAATCTCCATCGCGCTTCTCCAGTATGTACACCCCCCCTGATCCATATTAACTACGGTGGTGGTAGTGTACAGTAGTAGTTACAGTAGTTGGGGTGTTGTTGAGTAGCGAATGTGCCGGCTTGACCAAGCTGTCGCTGGTGGACTGCTCCGCCTTCAACGCTGTCGAAACCGGCTTCCTCCTCCACTTACCCAGGCGTCTAGAGAGCCTCAGCCTCGTCGGGTGCACGTGGCTCACGAATGATATGCTCCTGGCGCTGCTCCGAGAGCTGATGTTATCGAGTAGTACGACGCTGCGAAGCCTTCGAGTGTGGGGCTGCTGTCGGGTCTCGCTGATTGTCGAGCAAACGTGGGCGGCTGAGCTGCCGCAAGTGCATCTGGATATTCAACAGATTCCGTACTTATAACGTCCGAAACTGTTTTGTACGAGTAATTTATGACAAGTGTACGAGTGTGTGGGCATGACCGTTTACTTGTTCGAGCCAATCCATATGTACAGTCAGTACTGTAGCTCATATGTAGAAGGGATGAATTGTGATAATATTAATAGTATTCGTTTCATCTGCTACCTAGTTGGTTTGATTCGAAAAGTAATGCAAGCACAAGTGGAACCTAACGTAGATGGCCAATTAAGTGCACTTGAAGGAGACCTCGTCGTAGAATACAGCTTACTGAGTCGGAAAAGTGCTGAAAGGTTGGGCATTCTTCAGATTATCTAACCGGCTTGAATAGCCTTCAGCTTAGCGTTCATTTACTCTGATTTCCACTCAAGTCGAGGCAAAATACATACGAGGACGGTTTATGGAGCACAGTGTAAGCTTAAAATATGTGAGCTTTATTTTGTTCTTTTTTATTTATTTCATTACTCTAGTGATTCGATTGGCTATTCCAAAAATCAAGTAATTGCATTATTGGCCAATTTGAGTGCACCTTAAACTGTCCCATGCGCTATAGCGCTATAAAGTGGCCACATCTACGTACTTACGTTAGTACAGTTGGTTGCGTTTGACCTGCATCATTGTAATTATTATTTTTGTGTGATTAATATTATAAATACGAAAACATATACTACAGTAGTACCCAACTCATTGGGTCACGCATCCAATGGATTTGCATTTGCGTATTTGGCACGCGATCCACTGGAATCGGCACATGCAGCTCGTGTGTCCAATGGATTTGGTACATAAACCATTAAACTCGGCATCCGCCCAAACAAACAACCGTCCGTCGCTTGGATTTAATGATGAGTGCAATTGAATCGGTAGAAACGATATTTTCGAAAGCAAAACTCAACTAAAAATTACGCAGATATGCAAACAATGAGCTCGCGGAGCAATCAGCAGTGCCTTGGCAAATGGGCTTTCAAGATCACATGCCGACTTCCATGTCTTCCATGCGCTCAGCACGGCCATAGAAATACTCCAGTCGTAGAGCATAACCGTTCAATCGATGAATGTCGATGCCTAATCAATCTGTCAGATATCAAGCTCATTTCAATAACATACCTCGAATGACTTCTAGAGCCACGTGCTCGAGTTACTGCATTCGGAATTCTTCCCAGGTGAGTCCGTCTGGGGGAGGCCCCATGAAGGCAGCAAGGCGTTCACGCAAAAGGGTCACCACATGCGACTTGAACTCTGACCACAAGTTTTCGATCGGGTTGAACATGGGTGAGTACGAAGACAAACGGTAGTGTTGCACTGTCGTACTCCTCCTCTTCAAAACCCTGCTCCAACCTAATCGTATGTTGGAATCAAATCTATCAACACTCATACCTGGAGTGACAAGGAGCATTGTCTGCAATAACGACAATGTCGTCGAGTCGTCCAAAGTGTTGAGACGCCGCACGCAACATTTCACGCAGCCAAAGGTTTGCGTCTTGGTGCTTGTACGCCCCACGCTTGTGGATGCAGAAAAAGAAGTTGGCAGACAACATGGCACCGATCACTTGGGAGATTCTTCCCCTTTTGCGTCCCGCCGCGGACAACGACAGCGGTCCCACGTCGGGACCGTGCCTTCGTGCGGCAAGTGAACAAGTTGAAGTTTGGTCTCGTCAATCCAGTTGGGGATCTTTCCTTGACCCATCAGTTCGCCAAACGCCACAACATACTCGACGCGCTTGTCCTTGAACGATGGATCGTTCATCTGGAGTGGCTCATAGTGGACGGTCTTATAGGTAAAAGCGCGCGAAGATCTCTCATCCCTACTCTAGAATGTTCAAAAATATCGTTTCTACCGATTCAATTGCACTCATCATTTAATCCAAGCGACGGACGGTTGTTTGTTTGGGCGGATGCCGAGTTTAATGGTTTATGTACCAAATCCATTGGACACACGAGCTGCATGTGCCGATTCCAGTGGATCGCGTGCCAAATACGCAAATGCAAATCCATTGGATGCGTGACCCAATCAATTGAAAATTTATTTGTTTCAATTGAAAAAAGGTGTAGTATTGTTGCACGGATGATTTTATCCGGAAGTATCAGGTTTCTTAATGTACGGATAAATCAATTTATCCGGCAATGATGCATCAACTCCATCATCATACGACGATTTTTTGACAATGCCACCGCGAGGGGCCGAGGCATTTGAGGTCCTGCGGATGCCAGACCTGGTAGTCCTCATTTGCGACTACCAGCATGGAAAGTACCCACATCTGCTTCCTCTCCTCTCTTGCTGCATTGACCCTCGGACGTTCAACGTCGACGATTGGTACTACGTCAAGCACATGGGGCCGGAGCCCCTCCGCCGCTTCGACGCGGTGTTCCAAGCCGGGTTCGAAATCTACGGTCATGCTGGTCTCCGTCGCCTCTTGACCCAAGAAAAGAAGTCCATGCGCATCATTTTGTCTGCATATGCGGCGTTCGCAGGTAACGTTGACCTGCTCACGTACCTGTGCGACCGCGGGCTCGTGTATCCCAACCGGTTCATTGTGGACACGGCCGCGCTGCAAGGCCACCTCGATATCTTGCGCTGTTTACATGCTCGCGATCTGCCCGGATTCACATCTCGCACCATGGACGCCGCCGCGCACAACGGCCACTTGGAGATTGTCCGCTACTTGCACGATACCCGGCATGAAGGCGCGACGGGCAATGCTATGACATGGGCAGCACGCAATGGCCATCTGGAGGTGGTTCGCTTTCTCCACGCCCATCGACACGAAGGGTGCGGTGTTGGCGCGATGGATTGGTCGGCAACGTATGGACATTTGGAGGTGGTGAAGTTTCTACACAGCCATCGCGAGGAAGGCGGCACGAACGAAGCCATGGATGGCGCGGCAGCGCACGGACATTTAGAAGTTGTGAAGTTTCTCCACGCGCATCGCCGCGCGGACGGCATCTCCGCCCAGGCGATGAACGGTGCCGCGGCGAATGGCCATTTGGATGTACTCATGTTTCTGCATTGTACGACCGACGCCACTTGTACGACCTCGGCCATGGACAATGCCGCCGCCTATGGCCATTTGGAGGTCGTACAGTTCTTGCATTCCCATCGACAGGAAGGATGTACGACCCGCGCCATGGACGACGCCGCGCGCTACGGCCATCTGGAGGTCGTCGAATTTCTAAACACCCATCGAACAGAAGGCGCGACGACGGCGGCCATCGATCGCGCGGCACAAAATGGACATTTGGAAGTCGTGACGTTTCTCCACACCCATCGCCGCGAAGGATGGACCCGCGACGCGTTCGAGTACCGGGAGGTGGTGAATCCCCATGTAAATGTAGTGTCGTATTTAAATGCCGCCGTCGATGCCATTTAATATTGTAGCCACGAATACTATTCTTGTCGATATATTCTTCATATTGCCCAATTTTCCATGGTTTGTTAACCGAGCAGAAACCGCGGCGGCGAGATATCTGATTGGCTAATATCCACTTCACCCTTTCCAGTAGAAAAATCGAAAATGATTGTAGCCAATCAGGAACAAGTAATTTTAGATTGACCAATCAACGACGCCCGATTCGGTGGTTGATACCAAATCTCTACTTGGAAGAATGTGGTTTCGTTGAATTTCTGCCAATCCAAACTAATAATTCGGCCCAGTTGGTCAATGCATGTATATACTAATCATTATACGGTATAGTTTGTACAAGCTTAACTTGGATCAATAGATTCGAATGCTATTTGGCACAAGTCCAAATTTGGGTGATAACGTTATGCCGATATAATCGATATAATTGAGGCATAATTCGAACGAGTTTTCCGGATACAGCGACCTGTGATTGGCACGCAATAGTTTCTTGAGCCAGGATTCAGTTCACACATTTTGTTCAGTGATTGGCGAGGATGGGTTTGGCACCAACCGCGCCGCACGCGATGCTGCTGGAGGTGGTGCAGATCGCCCGGTCGATCCAGTCGTCGACATCGGATTACGTTAACTTCCCTGCGCGGTTCACAGTGCCAGATGTCACCCCGTGGCCGAAATCTCTCCGCGGTCGCACGATTCAAGTTGCGAGGGTGCGCAGGCAGTTCAAGGATGGCGTGCTTCCCACCGCCGTAGTGGAAGCGCTCAACAACGTCGGGTTCGTGTGGGACGCCAAGCAGCACAACTGGACCTTGCGCGTCTTGGCGTTGAAGACGTACAAGTCGTTGTATCACAATCTGCTCGTGCCGTACGAGTTTACGGTCCCGCCACACGCCGCCACGTATGAACGACAGTCCAGCTGCATCAAGTTTTTTAGTAGAGTTGTAGGTGGAGTCGAGACCTGTGGGGATGCAAACTCGGTGTCGCCGTGACCAACATTCGGTCCCGAGCCCACCAGCTGCCTCCGGACCGCAAAGCCGAGCTCGACGCGCTGGGGTTTGTCTGGGACTCGCACGAGCTCACGTTTGACATCAAAGTGCTCGCGCTAAACACATACAAACAGCTCCACGGCCACGTAAGAAGTCGATTCCTAGTGTGTAGCTACGTCGCCATCCTATGACACACCTATATAGGTGCACGTGCCGTTTGAGTTCAAAGTCCCCGATACCCATCCATCGTGGCCTCCAACATGCTGGAAACTCAAACTTGGCCGCGCCGTACACGATTTGCGATGCCGAGGCGACCATTTAACACCCGAGCGTCGCGACGTGCTGGATGCGTTGGGGTATGTTCCCTTGTTAGTACAACGAGAGTGCATGTATTGAGGAATGATGGTCTTTTGGGTGAGTGCATGGATGTGGGAATGATTGTCGTGTCCCTTGTAGGTTTGTGTGGGACAGCCACGAGTTGAACTGGGATATGAAGCTCCAGGCCTTGGCTACGTTCAAGCAAGTGTTCGGCGGCACACTGGTCGTCCCTCAGGACTTTGTGGTGCCGTCCACCGCGCCGTGGCCACAACGGTCGTGGTCGATGAAGCTAGGTGGGATACATATTGTCCTTTTACCCAAAATTTGGTTGATTTTTGTGCTCATATTCGCCAAATCTATCGATCGATTCTTTGTCCTGACCTTGTACGTCCAGTATCACACTAATTCGGTGTTGAATTGTCCAAGAGCGATTTTGATTGGCCACTTGATGAGTGTTCTGGGATTTGATTGGTCGATATATCGATTGTCTGCGGATTTTTGGTGCTGCTCATTCGATTGACCACCGATTTCGAATCGACTAGGCAATAGCTACTACCTACGTACAATACAACCGTGTTCACTGTACCTAAGTACTGGTCGAGGGTTACTATATACTGAGGAGTAGGCCAAGCCGTGACGAACATGCGATTCCGAGCCGACTCGATGTCTGCGGAACGCCATGCGCAGCTCGAAGCGATAGGATTCATCTGGGATTACCCCGAGCTCCGGGTGGATGCTGGCGTGCTGCTGCAAATCAAATCGATCGCCGCCTGCGAATTTGACAAGGAGAACACCAACAACCACATATTACTTGGATCATCCAACGAAGATCATATTAATGCATTCAACGACGACGCGTCAAGTAATCGGATAATGTAAAGTCCAATTTTATCAACGCATTTTCCAAGGGAAGGCTTTTAGTTACTTGTTGGATTATATTTCTACACTGTTAACGTCAAAACCGATGTAAGAGCCGAGTTCGAGCACTACTGGCTCTGGACACCGCGCCGCTAAATGTCGCTTGTGCACCAAGGATGTATACATAGTAAACGGCCCATGGGTTGGACGAGTTCATAGCGGGCCACCATGCAGAAGAGCATGTACTTAAGCGGAAGAGAATATATTGGATTTGAATTGGCGGCTGTTGTAGCTATGGGCACGTATACAACGACTGCTAACCAATTGGTGGCATCATCCTACAGCGATATATAGTGAGTGCACTTTAGGAGGAATGCCTCAGGTAACGTGCATTGGGCTCTGGAACGAGGTTTCTTGCCCATGTTATATAATAATGCATGCCCACTTACTATTATTAATAGTTCTACCGGTAGTGTACATATGTTAACTGTAAGCAACGACATTTGCAACGTAACTTCTATTCCTGTACTACAGTAGTATGCGTTAAAGCAGTTTACCTGAGTTATTTAATCGCTTCTTGAAGGTTTTGACATTGGAGACTACTGATAGGCTATAAAACGTCCCAGACATTGCGTTCATACTACCATTAAACGTGATATTTCAAATATATCGAAAACGACGGCAAACTCAAATATTGTTCACACGGATATTCCGAACTTAAGAGGGAGTATCGACTTCAGAAAAGCCAACATTTCCAACACAACCTCAGATCGCCGCGATCTCATGGAGCTGGGGTTCCTTGCAGAGGAGAATGACTGCGGCCAGTCGCTTCTCCGCCTCGTGAGTCGGGGTTCGGCCATCATCGCGGAGTTGCTGCGTCTGTCGAACAACATTCCGGGCATCTTCCTCGGGTCGGCCTTCGTGGAAGACCCCGAGCAGCGCAAGTACCTAGACATCTTGTTCGACTTTGCGTACCTGAAGAACCCTGAGGAGTTTGAAAACCGCGTCAACAGCGACACGGACCTCCTGGACGTCGACGACGAGTTCATGGGCAACCACGAAGACATCTTGGACCGGTTTTACCAGTTGTTTGACTCGATCTACAAGTACATCCAGGACTTTCTCGCGTTCTGCGATCAGCTGGAGAAAGGATTCTTCATCCAGCACAACCTGGCGAACATCCTCCTCAACACGGACGGCGCGCAACTCCTCTGTGAAGCGTTGTACCTGTACGGGGTCATGCTCCTACTGCTCGACCAGCGCATTCCAGGACCCGCGCGCGAACGCATGGTAAGGATTACATGTCTTATACAACATATATTGTCTTATACATGATTCTATCTAGGTGATTGCATTCTTCCGCAACAAGGGCGAATCTGCGTTGGAAAACATCGACGAAGTGTGCAAACTGTGCCGCGTGACGGGCTTCCTTCCCGGCAGTCCCAAGCCCGCGCAGTACCCCGAGCGATACTTTAAGCGATTTGCCCCTCCCAAAGAAGTACTTTCTCGATCTCTATCATTTGTAACCGCTTTGGCTTCGTCAGGTGGTGAGCATGGTCATCGGGAAGCTCCAGACGGATGACGTGTACCTCCAAGAGCCGGCATTTCCCCATCGCGACCACCGCAGCACGCGACTCGCGGCCCAGGCGAGCGTGCTGTACGTCGTGCTCTACTTTGCGCCAGATATTTTGATCCACGAGAAATCCACCATGCGCGAAATCGTTGACCGGCACTTCAACGACAACTTTATCATCACCACGTACATGGGGAACGTGGCCGATTTGTCCCTGGTACGTATATATCCCTATCCGTACATTGTATATATATACATGTATTAGTATATATCGTATACATTGTGTCATATATCTATCTATATATATATTAATATCCAATCCGTACATTGCGTCGATATATATATATATCCTATCCGTACAGTGTTTCCAATTACATAGATATATACATTATGGCATATCTGTACATTGCGTCCATATATATATACACATAGATATATCCATACATTGTACTGTTTATGTATATATATCCGTACATTGTGTGTCCATATATAGATAGACATGTATATATATTATCCTATTTCTACATTGTATATATATATGTCCTATCCGTACAGTGTGTGTCCATGTACTGTCATGCACAGTTTCCGGGCTGGAGAGTATTTCCGTATGGTAATAAGTTGGATTTTGAGAATTCCCGACCGGAATTCCATGTGTATCGCAATATCGTCGTACGTGTGGTGCCTGAATCGAAGGCTCGGATGTCATTCACTAACCACCACCTTGTACTCGTTTGAATATGGATCAGTCTCCCTTTCTATATTATATATATCTTCCTCTCCTCGATGCTGTCGTAACTATATCTATATAAACTACCACGACCACGAAATGTGAAACTGTTGTCATAATATACTTCTTTCTCTTTCTAGGAATGGGCACCGTACCCTGCCGCCCGGTTGGCGCTGGCCAACACGCTCGAAGTGTCCAACTTGGTCGAAATCGTCAAAGCCAAAATGCACACGAGCGCCTCTAGCATCGTGTCCTTGACGCACTTTCTCACCGAGGGCGTGCTCACCGAGCAGTACGTTCTCGAGAACATCGACGCCCTGCTGGACTGCATCCGCACGGCCAACGTGACGATCCGGTGGACGATCCTGCACAGCCGCATGCAGGAAACCATCCCCATGATGAACCACTCGGGGGACCAGCGCCGAGTTTTCGACAAGGGCACGGACCCTGATCGCCTCGTGACGCTGCTGCTGCAGACGTCGCAGCTCGAGTGGAAGCTCAAGCACGAGTTTGAACGACTGCTCGCGGCCAAGGAGGACCGGTGGCAGCACTGCATCAACGAAACATGCGACCGCCTCTCGGAGCTCAGCGAGTACTTTACGGGCGAGAAACCACTCACCAGGGTCGAGCGCAACGAAGACTTGATCAAGTGGTTTGCAGACACGTCGGCTAAAGTAAGGCAGCGTGGATATATATATAGATATATATGGGAATGAGTTTTTGCGGATGTATATATATATATATTGTTGTTTGTTTTACTCAAAATGTCTTCTACCGATGTGGTTGATTGAACCGCCAAACAATATCGCTGGACCTGCGAACTTGAACTATGTTTATCAGGTGTCTTGGTGCCATTCAATCTGTTTAGCCAATCATAGTGCAGACATTCATAATTTTTAGCCAATCATAGTGCAGACATTCATACTTTTAGCCAATCACAGTGCTTTGCTCGATTTGTTGGCGATTTCAACAATTCCCTAAAATTGGCAAATTTGGGTGAAAGTACAATATCTTATGTTTGCATTATTTCCACTGTATGCTTGGTTGGGGGGATGTATATTGTGTTGTTTGTATAGTATTGATTTGACGGGGTTCTTGTGTTGTGATATACATATATGAATATATATATTCTCGTCGATTGCATGAAAGACTTAACATACCTGTGCTTCAAACATTTGCTAATTGCTTTCACCCTGTCTTAGCAATGCATTTTCTTGCCATATGACAGTCGTATGTACATTGTTTTACTTTTTGTTTTATTTATCGTTCCCCGTTCCTTGCTGTCGTCTCGTTTGCTGAGAATATTTGTAGGTGGCGAGCTTGGATTATGTGAATCACGTGAAAGCGGGTCGCCGCATCAAGCGACTGATTGAGGCCCTGGGCCACGTTGAACAATTCGATCAAATCGACACGTCGCTCCAAGTCAAAGCGTTCTTGTCCGAGTCCCGCGCGTACCTTACGGAAATGGTACCTTTTTCCTATATATGAATATATATAATATATATATTTGGCTAGGTGCGCACCGTCCGCGTGCGTCCAGAAGTGATGGGGATCATCGAAGCCGTGTCGGATTTGAGTTATGCGTGGGAAATCATCAACGACTTTATGAGCATCCTGCACACACGGGTGAAACGAGACCCGTCCTGTGTGATTTTACTACGGGTACGCCTGCCTACGTATTGGCATTTTTATATCACACACTATCGGTTCACGAAAGATAGTATGCAATGCATGCAAACGTTGACATTTGATTCAACTGGATTATGTGAACGTTAGACTGAATGTTGTCATACTTTTTGTCCTTTAACAACAAATATTTGGAGTTTTGTGCGGATTCGCCAAATTTTTTATCGATCGATTGTTTTGACGACTATGAATGTTGTACAAGGTTGTCGTGTGGTGATGGTAGTCACACTAATTGAAGTCACACACTATTGAGATATGGATTTCCTGCCATCTGATGGGCTCAATACGTGTGCCGATTCGTCGGTGCATGCATTTGGTGGTAATACACAACAATATCAAACTTGACACCCTTGTAGGCGCTGTTTCTAAAACTTGCGTCCATCTTGGACGTGCCGCTGACGCGCATTTACCAGTGCAAGTCGTCGGACGTGATCTCCGTGGCCGAGTATTACTCTGGAGAAATCGTGGATTATGTGCGCCGAGTGATGGAGATTATTCCGCAAAGTGTGTTTCGTATCCTTGCGGGTATCATCAAGCTGCAAACGGGTACGTCAAACCCTTGGTTGGGACGACTATATTTCGAATTATTCATGTCATATATATATATTGATATATATAATCTCATTTTTGTAGATCATATGAAGGTGATTCCAGTCAAGATCGAGGCGAATTTGCTCAAGAACCACGCCCAGTTGAGCGAGCGATACCGGTTGGCGCGAGCCACGAACGAAGTGTCCAAGTACACGGAAGGTATATTATATCTCCCAATTCCAAGATTCGTACTATATATATATATATTAGTTTCATCTCCAGATCATGACGATTTCATTCTATAGGTATTTTGGCCATGAAAAAGACATTGCTGGGCATTCTCGAAGTCGACCCGCGTCAAGTGTTGGAAGAAGGGCTGCGAAAGGAGTTGGTCTACCGAGTACGTCCCATGAGCCTATCTTTTGTTGATGTTTTATAGTAAACTTTGGATGTTGCACTGGTCGATCGATTGTTTAAGTTTTCTATGTCAAAAATTGATTAGTATTACACGAAAAGATACACACAAATTCGATGAGGAATGGTAAATTTGATTGGCCACTTGACTCGTGTTGTGGGTTTTGATTGGTCGTATATCGATTGTCTGTCGATTTGGGATACTCTGCATTCGATATTGAACTCGATTTTTCGATTCGAATGGACACATATAATATATATATATACAACGGAGCGATGGATGGATTGTCCATGCTGTTGTTTTTACTGGGCATTTTTATTATTGGGCATTCATCTCGTCTATAGGTGAGCCGTGCGTACCACGACATATTGCAGTTTCCACCGGCAGAATCGACGACAGCAAAGGAATGCACGGCGATCTTTCAAACGTTGGCCGGCACGTTGCAAGCGTATCGGTTGTCGTTCGAGTACATTCAAGATTACGTCGGGTAACGTCCTAATATTGTGACGACAGTGGTGGCAATCCTTTGATCCTCGAGTGACAAATGACATTCTCGAACCACTGGTGGCTAAACATGGATTGATTCGTAGCATCTATGGCCTGCGCATGTGGCACGAAGAGCTGAGTCGGGTGATCAACTACAACGTCGAAGCCGAATGCAATCGGTACCTCAAGAAGAAAGTGTACGATCGGACGTCGCAGTTCCAGTCCCGCGCCATCCCCATCCCCCGCTTCTCGCCGCCTCCGAACGATCCAAGCAGCATCAATTTTATGGGCCGGTACGGCTATCGTCCTTGCTATTATATATATATATATATATTGTCCTTTTACCCTCAATTTGGACTTTTGTGCTGAATCGCCAAATCAATCGATCGATTCTTTGTACTGAATTTTCTATGTAAAAGAGTTGTCCTGTGGTGATTGGTATCACACTATTTGAAGTCACACACGAATTTGACGATGATGACGGTTTCCTGCAATCTGATTGGCTCAATTCTTCTGCCGATTCTTCAGTATATTTGGTTGTGTCGATTCATTATCCATGTGTGCTGTTTCGCCAACAACAACTCTATCGATCGATATCGGTTGTACTGGTGTAACGTGGTCCAAAATGGTAATTGTAATCACATTGAAGTAATCACACACTAATTAAAGAGTTGAGGTGGATTTCCTTCGATTTGATTGGCTTAATACTACTGCCGATATTTTTCTGTACGTTTTTTGGTTTTGTGTTCCAGTGAACATAATAACAAGAAAGATATGTGCGATTCTATTGGATGTGCAAGGTCTGGTGTGTTGTTGTATTCGAGATTTCTACCGCGGCAGTTGACTGATTGATGAACCACCCAATCAATCGCCCGAGTGTTTTCAATATAAAACAAAGGTTGCAATATAATTGGCTGAAACCCACGGTATACCGTTGAGCCTATTCTCATTCGTTTCAGCCAATTATATTGCGACCTTTAATCTATTTTTATCCAATCATACGGCTTGGCTCGATTGCGTGGTAACAATCCCCCAAAATTCGTAAATATGGTACTCGCTGTGTCTGTCGAGTCGACCAACGGTTCTCGATCGACATGGTGATGATATATGCCTTGAAATCAAATTTTTTTTTTTAAATAATATATATATAATTCACATTTCTATACAAGATATAGTACAAAAATAATAATCTTGTTTTTGGCTTTGTGGATTCAATGGATGGATGTTGCTGTTCTATGGTGGTGCTATCCAATCAATCCAAATTTAAACTTACAATTGTCCAAACTGAATGGTGAATCTGTTTCATGGAATATTGTTGGACAGTCATGAATATTTTATTAGTATTACCCAACCCACAAAATAAGTTGATTCCATGTTGAATGACTTTGACCATAATTCACAACGGGATTGGCTTTCGTATGCCGATATAAATATAACATATCCGCCTTTGATCAACAATTCTACATGTATGTTTCGATATGTAAACTTATCCAGCTTTGATCAACAATTATATATATTATGTATCGATATATATATATAAGATATTCAGCTTTGACCAATATTTTCCTTTATGTATATTTTAGACTCATGCACGCGCTGTTTCTAATGACCGACCCCCACGAAACCGTGTATTCGTTCCAATGCCTCACGTGGTTCAACGAGGTATAGCCCATACACTATATATTCTATTTATTTATTTTATATATTTGCTCATATATCATATATTGCAGCAAGGCGTCGAAGTCGCCGGCCTCAGTACGTTTGCTGTGCTGCACCAGAGCATTGGGCTGCTTGGGCTCGTGGGTGTCGACCGCATGCTTTCGTTTCGTATCGTATGTATAAATATATATATATATATATGGAAATATATTTTTTACCTATTCCAAATAGGTGCACACCCTCAACAACTTGATCAAGTTCTGGGGCACTGCCATTTCGCCGTACTTGCCGTTGTTGGATCAACTCACCACGGCTTTGGAACCGGCGTGGCGCCTTCCCGACAACGCCTCGCGGCTCTACGAAGCGTCGTTGAAAAAGGTAAAACCAGTTGAATCCTTGAATATCATCGATATATATATATATTGCTTTGTGGATGTGCAAGTGTCCATTATTACTGGATATGTATTCCTACACAAGCTGTCGACGTAATGCACGTTATATCTACATATATTGATTTGGGGTTTGTCAGAGTCCAATCATCCTATACATGTTCCTGCACATACATACTATTGCTGCAATGAATATGATATATATATATATCCAGAGAGTGAGAGATTCGTTACCAATACCTCGCTTTGTCTTATTTAGACTTCACCCTTGATTCGAGAATCCATTTGAGTCCGATTTTAAGCTTATTCGATGTATGGTATACATATTTGAAGATGAAGATTTGGACTGAGCCAAACTATTCGAATAATCGATGATTGGTAGAAATTTCTACTTGGTGCACTTTGATTGGCTAGGTCATTCTCAACTACGTTTGTCGAAGTTCATTCGAAAGTCCTAAATCGGAACAGATTTGACAATATATATATGTGTGTGTGTTTTCTCATTTTTATATATATTATGTGTTAGGTTGAAAAAGTGATGAGTAAACTGCTCAAAGCCGTGCTGATCATTGGCCAAGCGGCGCTGCTTCGCAAAGCCATCGTATCGGAGCTCGCGTTTTCTTCCAAGTTGGACGCCCATTTGCTTTCGTGCTCCGTGGGCACGCTGGACAAGAGCGTCCTGAACGACCTGCGCGCGCACTTCCGGTCCAACTCGGCCGTGCCGCCCGCGGCCGTGCTGGTGGAGCTCAACAAGTACCTGGAAACCATGGGCGCCACGGATCCGTACTCCAAGATCTTCATCACGATGAACGAACCGCTCGACAAACTGTCGGCGTTGTTCCTCTTGTTTGTGTTGGCATACATGCCCAAGCTCCAGTACGACGACCAGTGTGGCGCGTTGAAGCGGGTTCGTTGGATATTTATATATATATATTGTCACCCTTTCAGCCAAAATTATGATTCGCCAAAAATCCTTGATCGGTCGATTGTTTGGACTGAAGGTTGTATGGAAATATGGACCAGTGTCACACTAATAAAAGTCACACACGTTGATTGGCCACTTGATTCGTGGTCTGGTATTTTTGATTGGTCGATCGATTGTCTGCCGATTTGCCGATTTGATATACATACTGGTCATTCGATTGAGCAAACCCACCACTCCACTTTCGAATCGAATTAACTATGTATGATCTACTGCTGTTTGTGGTGTGGACTCATTACCAAGGGCATGTTGCTGCTGTTGATTCAGGGATTAATTTGAAGGATTGTATCCAGAGGCTTTGAAGCGTTGTTGTTTTGAACCCTATTCTGATTTTTGGTATTATCTTTCTTTTACCAATAAGTTGGACTTTTGAGCTGATTCTCTGCCAAATCCATCGATCGATTCTTTGAACTGAATGTCAAATGTAAAAAGTTTGTCTGGTGGTGATAGTATTCACACTAATTGAATTCATACACTAATTTGACGTATACGATGGTTTCCTGAAATCTGATTGGCTAACCATATTTCTGTTGATTCTTCTGTACATTATAGTTGGCTGTGTAGATTATTCAATCTCCAATTTCGAATCCACACAACAGCAATGCTTGCTATACTACTATACTTGCTACAATTTGAGCTATCGTTTTGCTTGGTTTTCCAACTTTAATAGGTGATAGCTTTAGTGGGAATGCTGCTTAAAGCTGGATACTGATGTTGGGTTGTTGGGCTATGTGTTGATATTTCATGATTTTAGTAATATTGTGGATATTTATTTGGTTGTGATTAGGTGGGTACGAACCCCGTGGACGGCGCGCCACTTATCCTGGGGCTGTCGACCATCTTCAAGCAGTTTCACCCGAGCTACACGGAGCAGTTTGTGTCTTACGTGGGTCAGTACGTCCGCAGTACCATCAGTGAGGCCAAAACTACCGACCACCTGCCCCCGAACGTGCTCAATGTGCTCATTTTCTTGCAGCATTTCGCTCGCGTGACCAAGTTGAAGCCGTCGATTCTGCACACGCACATCCCTGCCTACGTGTTTGACGCCATGTCGTTATAAGGTTTGTCCAAATCAAACAAGTTGACCTGCTACTGTGTGTACACAACTCTGATACAGGCTCGACAAACATATTTTACAACGAGGACATGCATAGGAGGAATTCATCATGTTGTGAATATACTACAGTAAGGTAGGTTTACGGTATAAAATGAAAATGATTCTATTACTGTACTACACCTCTCTGTCCCACTTATATTGCTCCAGGCCGCTTTTTCAGCATTTAATCAGGATATGTCGATCAATTAGTGGTAGTAGACATAAACTATGTAGTACGACATACTTTGAAATAGACAATTCCTAGACCAATCAGAAAGTGTCAAATTCACGTTGTTTGTCCTAATATTGTGGAAGCTATCCTCAAAAGAAAAAAAAGAATAATGATCAATTTTCGCTGTGCTCATCAACACGCTCTGATAATTCCTACCAAGGTCTGGATGCCACAGAAAATGGCATAAAATGGCCGTTTTTTGGAGAATAGGTTCCAAAATCAAAATATTCCATTTTTCGAGATTTCGTGCGTCTGGATGCCACCAAAAATCAAAAAATTATACCGCAATTTCATTGAGAATCGGGTGTTTTATGGCATAAAAAAATGGACCGATTTGGTCCAACTTTTTTATGGAGGTTTGTGTTCATGTTGACAGTGAAGTCTTGCATTTTAATCGGCATTCGAATAATTTTTCCATAATTCAACTGACATCAGACAACTTTGTGGTTACTTCTTTTCACCTCTTTCTCATGGGATATGAGACTTTGGGAAATTTTTGCAGTCTTGCCAAAACGGTTTAATTTTATGGGCTGGCACCCAGAATACCCCTTCGTACTTCTCCATATTGTAGTACTACCTGTTAGGAAATTTGGCATATCACGGCGACCTCTGGGCCATATTAATAAAATCCATTGGCTGTCGATCGTACTGATCCTCCTGTTATTTTAATAAAGCGATTCGATCTTACATGACAGTATAAGAGCATCTCCACCGCATCCCCAAATATTTTTGTCCCCATCCCTATAATAGAGCCAGTTCACTGTTTTTGGGATGTCTGCAAAAAATCTACCGTTTTGGTAGCTGTCCCCTTCCCCATTGACCTCAAGCCGGAAGTGCATGGTATGACATCGAGAGGCTGTCAAGTTCACTCTGGAACGGAGTTATGAACGGTGCTTGCCTCTCTCTAGTGGTAGTTAACTTTTCAGAGATTACGACTGGATGGCATGTCGATGGTGACCATCGCCTTGCTAACGTTATTGAGTTTCCCAAGGTCGGTGATGCCGGTACTTGCAAGCCTACTTGACCGCAGCGATTATGTAATCCCACGCACACACCAAGTTATAGAGTGTAATTGTTGCTGCGGACTCTTGTCCGTGATGCGCGACCGCATAGCGTAATGCGGTTGCGCCTCTTGGACAAACCCGCGTCCACCGCAGCGCCGGAACGAGAGTCACCGGCAATCACTGCCGCAGAGATATCGGCCAGATATCGCTGTATCAATGAATGCTGGTGACTCTCGTTCGCCACATCGTTCGCGTGTCCGACGACGGCGAGACGTGGTTCACGATACCGACCGCCAGTCGCGGTGTCCAAAGCCGATATTGGGAAACTGCACCAATGGACTTGCTTTTTCCATACAAATCGTAGTATATTTGTTGGGACAATTAGTTGGGATATCCCAATAGTGTGCAATTTTCGGGACAAAGTGGATGTCCCGACCCCAAATTTGGTTTTCGGGACATCCGGTGGGGAAGATTTTGTCCCATCTGATGTCCCAATATCGAGTTGGGACATATTTGGGGATGCGGTGGAGATGCCCTAACAACCACTTAAAATAGTCACAGCCACTTTGATCTGATCAGCAGAAGTTTCCGCCAATTGAATGGATGCAGTGTGACGTCTACAGCTTTTGATTTGTAGATATCTACCAATTATATCAACTACGTAGTATGCATTTCGACGAAGCATCCTGATTTTTATTTGATTTACATAGGTTTTCTTTTAGGGTGAATATCGACGAAACCTACGAAGCTTCAACAGTAACCAAGGCGAAATATAAATTACATTTGCGACTTTGTTAGGAGATTACATTGAGTTGTCATGTGGAGCTACCGGTACTGTATAGTAGTAGAGGCAATCCACTCGATGCGAGGAGCGATACGCTGTCCCTTCTTCGTATAAGGTAGCGATGCTCGAAAGTGACTACTTCCACGTATCACGTAGCTGGATGCTATTGGCTAAAAGTCAGACAGGCTTACATTTTGCTGTCGTGTCAACAATTGGGGGTTGCCAAAACAACCGCATTTTACTTTGCTACAGTTCACAAGTGAGGAATTCCCAAGCAGTAGGTAGTTGGTTCGTTACTACCGTAACGATTCAATGTTGGAGTGGTACTCGGCTGTGACCACTCTGTTTCTAGTCTATTCAAAATTAATATTTCGATGTGATGTTGGAGGAATATAATTTTATGGGAGTTCTTCGGGGCAATCAAACTCAAATTGAAATCATACAAGTACATTTTAGGGCTTGCGATGGGACGGTCACGGCATAATGGAAAGTGAATGGAGGTGTCAATGTCAGTTTACAAGCTCAAGTTTGCATGCTGAAATCTGCAGGAAGTCGCTTCAAGTTTGCTCGTGGCATTACTTCTGAAAGGATATTTATGTCTAGAGGCAATGAATATCAAATTTTCCAGTAGTGCTACAGCCAGGAGTACCTGGCTGTACCACTCCAACATTGAATCGAAAGGCACGGTAGTATTAATACCTGCTGAATGTCGAAAACTACCTGTTCTGGGGGGATTTGGGGGATTTTGAGTTAACACAAACGGATAATTGTTCTGGTTTGTTGCACAGATAAGTATAGTCGAATGCTTAGAAAATATAAGCGCAACACAACACATTTCGGCAAGGGGTTAAGTGCTTTTCAGTGGTTAGCGATAGCTACCCACTGGGTGCAACTTAACCCCGGAAATAGCATAAATAATAGAGAGTTTTCGTAAGAGCTTTTCAGTTAAGATTCAACTTGTGGAAGTGAACTGAAAAATGTACGTACATTTTGAGAATGAATAGCGTTACTTCATTTCTCAAAGTAATGTACGGTGGTACTCGGTAGTACTACGAAATAGCAGCAAGAAAATTCTGTGAAAAGTTGGTCGTGTATATTGTAGGTGACGTGCACCACAGTAACGTTACAGTAAAAGATAGGAAAAGCATTTGGACATGCGTTGTGAGTGTACGAGGCAAACTCATTGTTGTGTGGGTACCAGGTAATACTAGTACCTAACAGAATGCTGTACAGTTGTAGGTAGAATCGTTAAAGGTGACAGCACTGTAATGTACCGGTAGTATGGATTGGTCATCGCCATCTTGCCCGATTTCATTGATTGTTTCGACATTGAAGTTGACGTCACTATGGTTATTCGCCTCGCAATATGTACTAACAAGTTGATTGGGGGGTTAGCTAGCTATCACTGCCTTATTCACTCGACATGTCGAGTGAACATGTGGCCTTGCTTTGAGAAGTCCCCACCTGCGTCGGTTTAGGTTGGGCAACCAACCAGTTGTCTAGTTTTTACGGTGACTGGGCGTTCCACTGTCGAGTCAGATCCATCAACAACGAGCCAGTCAGATTTCGCAATGGCCACACCATTGGTTGGTCACGTTCATATCGTATTTACTCCGGAGTACTCACTAACTATCCTGGTGATGAATAGCCATACGACTAGCAGTCGAATGATAGCGCTTTAAATCCACACATGAAGAAACGGCGCGCCAAGGCAAGGCAACCATGATGGTTCACTTATTTCAGAGCACTGTAGTAGTACTCTGGAGAACGAATGCGCTTTGGTAGATCAATTTCCAACCAAAGAATATGCCCATTGAAACTGCACTAGGTGAGTAATTCGTGGCGGCCACTTATGTTTATGTCCATAAGACATCTGAGTCAGCCGCGACTTTTCATGATTGCTATACCTTTCGCTTTGAAATGGTAATATGTAAGGCATGTGCCGGTACATACTTGTGTACACTATGGAAGCGAACTAGGGCAGGATACCTTCAACGAAACAACCAAGGAAGAGCTTGTCTAGGCAGCAACTACCAAAGCTGCTTGTTTGGACGGGTTTCACTTCAAGTTGAGAACAGATGCACGATGAGAGACACGACTGTCTACTGTAGCAACACCATCCAACTGTGGCCAACTCAGATTCGGCTGAATGCGAGGAGCCAGCATTTTGCATTTAACTGGTCGAGCACATGAACCTCATGTTTAACAACAAGAAGATCGACACGCCATCGATGGCTGCCAAGCTTTCGAACCTGCCGTCAACTCCCCATCTTCCTGATGAAGACGACATGCCCACGCCCTCCTACGAGCAGCCCGACGACGGCTCGTCGCGCAAGGCGATGTTTCGTAAGATCGCGCTGGGCGTGTCCGTGCTGGCGGTCGTCGGCACGGTGGCCGCCGTGGCGCTCAACGAAACGCAGGAAGTGGCTCGTGGCACGGCGTCCTTCGGGTCTGCCGTGTCTACCTCTGTAGGTCCCCAGCACAACAACCAGGGAGCTCCTTCCGATTTTGCTCGATTCGCCGAGTTGGACAGTTTGGCTGATATTTACAAGCTACGCCTGCAATTGGATGCGGAGGAAGCCCCCCACCGCGGAAACCAGGCACCGCCCGCAAACGAGGGCCAACTGGCACATGACAACAGCATGAACGATTTTGCCAATTTGGCCGGTCGTGGGAACCAGCACCCCGAAGAACCCAAGCGCGTTGGGATTCATTATGGACACGTCCGCCGCCACCACGACGCCACCGCCTCTCCACCTGCTGACGGACCCCAACGAGGCAACCAGGCCCCCCCTGCTGACGAACTCAGCGAGGCGCAAGTGGACAGCATTCGCGACATTGAAAACTTGCACGCCCAACTGGCTGGCAAGGCTCCTCAGCGTGGCAACCAGGCTCCCCCTGCTGACGAACTCAGCGAGGCGCAAGTGGACAGCATTCGCGACATTGAAAACTTGCACGCCCAACTGGCTGGCAAGGCTCCTCAGCGTGGCAACCAGGCTCCCCCTGCTGACGAACTCAGCGAGGCGCAAGTGGAAAGTGTGGTGGGAGTGCAGGATGATACCGCCCCCCAAGGCGGCGATCAGGTGCCTGAAGTGGACTTGGCCGAACTCGACCAGGTTCTCAAAGTGTTAAATGAGTTGAACCAGCACAACTCTCGCCACCGTCGCACCCCCAACTAAAACGTAATCGTTTTATCCGTGTCCTTAACTCTACAATGTCGATCCAATATATATAATGTCGTGTTTATCTACTTCGAAGTATAATGTTGAGGCGAGATCTATTACCACATAATGAATGCTGTCTTATGCTCCATGCAAACTATGAGGGATAATGTGTCAAATTGAAATACCAGGATTGGAGGGAGTGGTAAAGGTCAGTGTACTTGATACAGCAAGTAATTCAATTTACTCGGAGTACTTTAGACTTACGATATGTGCCTATAATACTATTAATAAGCTTACTAGCTTGCATGGATACTAGCACCCAAACTACTAGTATACCTACCTTTACAATTCTGTGGTACCTTGCAACAGCCAATCAGGACGCCTGAACTGAGGATTTGTTGCACAAATATATAGTGGTGTGGTTTCTAGTGATACCGTAGTCCCAGGAACGCATGTAAGCTAGAGTTTAAGGAATCTCAGTGGTTAGCGATACCCCGTAGCTAACCGCTGTGATGCGTTTAACCCTGGAAATATCATTATACTTCGAAATATCTGTGCCCAAGACGAAGTCCTAGGTTACAAGTTTCTTTTTGATGTGTGCGGAGTCTTATCTAAGGAATTCCCCCACTAAAGGTGTTTTGAAGGTTAGTAAGGTACACTTGGTAGGTAGGTACTATACCTGCTGTGGGGGATTATTCCATCAGCCAGCCTCGCCTCACGCAATCGACATTCATAGGCTCGTGCTTGACTAAAGTGATGACTTCCTCGAGTCGCCTAACTATCCATACAAGACATATCTTGGACAGAGCGATAGCTAGACGCCTAGAATGAATAGCGGAGCGGCTAACCGAGGGACTGGTTGTCATTCTTCAGAGCAAAGGAACCGAGGAACTGGGGTGAACATGTTGAATGTCCACTAATAAGGCGCCGGTTCAGATACAAGTACAAACAGTATGTTCATACATGCGTGGTTCTGTCAGTATTCGTGGTTATACCGGCTTCCGGGAGACGCCAATCAACGGTGCTCAATTAATATCCGTATCTGAATCTCTGAAAAGTACTACCGCATCTTGAGTTCTTTATCGAAAGTTTTACTTTTTCCACTCTTGAGTTCCACAACCTGAATCTTATCTCAAAGTGCTTCCGAAAACTCTCGATTTATCAATGCAAACGGCTTGATCAATCGAAACCCGACCGCCAGACTCAGAGGCATACAGTAGTAATGTGTGGCTCAGACGTCTTCAACATGTAGGATGATTTATAGTGGGAGGTTGACTACGATTACCTTGTACTTGCACTGGACGGTTTGACGTTTGAAACTGACTTGAATCATTCATCATCACATCAGCAGTCGTCATTCCTCCAAAGTTTTTTGTTTGTGTTGTGTCGGGAGCACCCCAACTGTCATGGCTAACTCCATTTTCGATTGTCCTTGAGTCGAACATATGAATGGTCAGCATCACTTTACACGCGGCTTACGCCTTGTACAAATATTGCATCACGCAAGTACAGTACACATTGCCCTCAACTTGAACTTGATCAACTCAGCACTGATTGACATCCCACTGCACATACAGTGTCTGATCCAGCGAGTGGACGGCACACAATTCTTTTTTATCGTGAGCCAGCCAGCCAGCCTGCCTTGCGCCTTGCTCTCATTCTTGAATTTGCTTAGCCTCAGTCACATTCCATACAATGAAAACAGTGGTATTGCTAGCGTTGGTGGCTGCCGTGCAGTCGGCGGGCCTCGAGACGTACTTGCCCAAGTCGCTTTTCCAGTCCGTTTTTCCCAACGCGTTGCCCATCTACTCGTACGAGAACATGATCGCCGTGTCCAAGATTTACCCCGCATTTGCCAACACCGGCAACGTCGACGTCGACAAGCGCGAAGTCGCGGCCTTTCTAGGGCAAATCGCGCTCGAGTCGGGGTACTTGCAATACGTGGAAGAAATCAACAAGTCCACTATGTGCCAGGCATCGGCCGACTACCCGTGTGCCCCGGGCAAGCAATACTTTGGTCGGGGGCCGATCCAGTTGTCGTGGAACTACAACTACAAGGACTTTGGCATTGCTGCGGGCAAAGATCTGGTGGCGAACCCCGATCTGGTGGCGCAAGACCCCCAGCTAGTGTGGTGGAGCGCGTACTGGTTCTGGAACGTGGACAAGTGGAACGGCAACATCCACGACGTGGTGGGACAACCGGGGGGGTTTGCGTACACCACGTACATTATCAACGGGGGCTTGGAATGTGGCCCGAACCCGGCCAACAAGGAGTCGGAGAAGTCCCGCATCGCCAATTACATCAAGTTTGCCAACTTGCTCGGCGTAGCCCCAGGCGATAACTTGTCCTGCCAGACCAGTGCCTTCCCCCCAAGCACTCCGTGGCCCAAGCCTGTGACCACCAAGACCCCCCCCTCTACGTCGCCAACCACGACCAAGACCGTCACCACATCTACCCCAACCACGACCAAGCCCATCGTGACCCCCGCGCCTACCACGACCAAGCCCATCGTGACCCCCGCGCCTACCACGACCAAACCCATCGTTACCCCCACGACGACCCCCCCGCCGTCCAACCAGTGCAATGGCAACCGCAACGTCTGCTTCTGGCCACTCACGCAACAAGTGCTGCCGTATGCCAAGTCCGACTGCCAACTCTTTCCTTCGTTTGTGTGGTGTGATTAAATGCGATTACTTTGTGCGTGTCGTTTTGAATGAGCTTATGCTAGCTTCATCAATACTAGTTGTAACGTTACCGTAAAACACGAGTCTACTAGATTTCTCTACAGGGTATGTGGTGGCATTTGCGAAATATGCCATCAAAAGCGTGGCATTCCGGCCATTTTGCCAAGTGTATCTGGCTCCTGCGGACATGGAGACTACATACACACCAAGTCATTTCACAGCGACGAATTGCTTGGACAGTACGGCCGACTCGCACTGCTTCCTGCGGTGGTTTTACATTGCAGGCAACAACCCGAGCTTGGATCCGTTGGACCGGCAATTGATTTGGAACTGCGCGGATATTTACATAGTTAAGTAGCACAAACTTCAGCGACTCGCAGCCGACGCTTCGCCCTGCCACTCCAGTGACGACTATAGGGGGCGACGGATTTTAAGGCTACTTCGATGCTTAATCAAATCGATGCAAAAGAACGAAGGCTATCTCGTCTTTGATTGGCCAGTTCAAGAAGTTTTAATCCCAACACATCGTTGAGATATCGCTCGCCAAGTGCGCCACGTCATTTTTTTCAGCATAAACCGACCCGCCAGTCAATCAAAATCGTTGTTATCACGTGCACTCAAAGCTTAAAGCCCTTAATTGGTGTCTTAACAGTTCTTAACACTGCTGAGGAGCCTGGTACGTTTGTTGTGTAGTCTTGAGGACTGATGCAAGGTCTGGCGACGATGATAGTTGCAGCATGCACAAAATCCTCCAGGAGAATGCTATAGAAAAACTTTGAGTGCGCATTGCACTATAATGCAATTCATTGACGGCATACCCGTATCTTGAGTCTAGGCGCATCCACAGCACTCGCATTGCCTCAGTATGCGGCGACCACCTTCGTTGGCCTATTTTGGGGTATAAACCTTGGATAATTAATATGTCCTTCATAATACTATCGAGTTAAAGAGGAATAATCCGAAAATTTTCGAAATTGCATACTTTAATCAAGTCTAAAACATGGTACAAACATAACGGACCAGAGTAGTACACTACTATGTCAAGCCGATTCTCGAATCAGCTCAATTTCATCAAAAAGAACAATACATCGGGATACCTGAATCCGTGGGGGTGTCATCATGGAACCTGGACGATGGACTGGGTCGGCTGCCGACTACGCACGGGCGGCGTCGCTGCCAAACCTCCTCCAAGGCAAGGTGCTCAATGAGCATGTAGAGCCTCAGTGGAGTTCAGACGGCACGCGGCTGTGGTATTTGTGGCAGGTTGCGTTGGATGGCCGCAACGAAGTGTGCGTCGTCGACGTGCATACTGGCGAGTCGCTCGTGGACAACGATCGCTATATGTATCGACAT